TTAAAAAAAGCAAAAGTGACAAGTTGCAGAATGGTAGCTAAAATAAACAAAAGTAGAATAGGAAGACAAAAAAAGAACCAGTTTGTTGAAGCAGATTTCAAAGAGAACAAAGTTTCTGAATGAACCGAAGAGATTTCAGCAACATGGGTAAAAAATATTTGCAAATAAAGTCAAACATTTGCAAAGGTTTAAGTTAAAAACAACTTTCAGCTCCTGTCTTCTGAATGAGCTGAACGTTTTGATGGTGTGTGTGTTTACACATGAGTCATGGGATATCCTAGCATACTCATGATCTCATATTGTGTTATCGTTTGCCAGACTGCCATGACCTCAGCTTGAGCTCCAGTTCAGAGAAAGCAGCTTTAAAGTTTCCAAACTGGTCACACAGGAAACAACCAAACTGCTCTAAAAACCAGTCATCGTCATCATTTTGCTGAAAACTGACAACCCATCAGCTGTTCTCTCTCTCCCGTTTCCACTATTAGCTTTTGTTGTAATTAGCATTACGCTGAAGAGGACACTGAAACTTTTACAAGTAGATTTTATTCCACTTATTCTGGTTATTAGACTTGATAGATGTCCATGTTGAAGAACGATGTTCCACTGCTGTTTTTAAGATGAAACACGAGTCAGACCTCATAAATCTTTAAAGGACACGGGGATACGTTGTTCTCCGCATGGTCTTGCATCATCCTGGTGTTCCTGTCTAAAGTGTGTGAACCGCTGTATGTCTCCTTTTGAAGGTATTTCTGTTCAGACTTGTTGTAGTTCTACTGTAAGAATGTTGATTCTGGTCTTAGGATGTAGACACGGCTGTAATAAAACATCACAGAAGCTGAAGTGTTGGACGGGAACTCTACATCCTAAAGCAGACTAAAGATGGTTTTAGGAACTTGTACTGACATCATTGCGTCGCCTCGTCTGCAGACTGTGGAGTACAACATCTTTGAGGGCTTGGAGGTGCGTGGCGGGCCCCTTGTGGTCATCAGCCAGGGGAAGATCGTCTTGGAGGAGGGGACCCTCCATGCCACGGAGGGCTCGGGACGTTTCGTGGCTCGCAAACCTTTCCCTGACTACGTCTACAAGAGGATAAAGGCTCGCAGCAGGGTACGGAGATGTGGTGATATCCTAGAATATGTCTCACAGTGTACCATAATTTGTAATTGTTTTCCTGCTGTGACTATTTGGTGCCATTTCCCACAATGCAGCTGGCCGAGCTGAGGGGTGTGCCTCGGGGGCTGTACGACGGTCCGGTCTGCGATGTGTCCGTCACGCCCAAAGCCCTGACTCCTGCCTCCTCTGCCAAGACCTCACCTGCCAAACAACCCAACCAGCCAGTCCGCAACCTGCACCAGTCTGGCTTCAGCCTGTCCGGTCAGTCTCATCATCATCATCAGTCTGTAATCAATAATCACATCCTTTATCCTCCTAAGACCCGAACTCCTGCATATCTGGATGCCAGGTCCTAGGAGGTTAAACTTACTAAGGACTATTTTGATGTTGTATTAACCCCAAAATCTGTAAACACCATTGCACCATATTTAGATGTAACTTTTTAAAACTTTTTATGCCTCGTGTTAATTAGAAGTAAGCAAAGGATACTTCTTTTAGAGTTTAATTCGATGTGCAATTATCTTTTTAGAAGTAATTTTTAGTTTTAAAGAAAATCTTTCATTACACAGACCTTTAAGTATATACTTTATTTTTTTAAAGCAACACTTACTGGTCATGAAGGTTATAATAAATTGATATCTTCCATAAAAAGAAGCTAGCTTAGCTAAAGTAGCATGTTCCCACCACTGGACTTAAAGGTACAGAGTGCATCCAGCCATTATCTTTACCTGCTGCTTCCTTTTTGAGTCGTTGGGGTCACTGGTGCACATGTCCAGCAGTCACTGTGCGAGAGGTGGAGGACACCCTGAACAGGTCTCCAGTCCATCACAGGGACACATAGAGACAACCATTCTCTCTCTCTCTCACACCTAAGGACAATTTCGAGTTACCAATCAGGCTAACATGCATGTGTTTGGTCTGTGGGAGGTAGGCCTGTTGCAATAATCAATTATCCTCATTTTCATTTATCAGCTTTATCATCGTGTCTCTCTCTCTCTTTCTACTGAAGACACTGGATGACAAAAGACTGAACACCGGGGTTCTTCACTGACCCCTCCCTTTCTCTTTAAAATCTGTTTTTAACCGTCCAAAATCGTGTTTTTTGGATCGTTAAAAGCAGCTAAGCTGAGAAGCTAAGCTACGAGCTAACAGGCCGACCTCGGGGGCAAAAAACCTCCGTCTTGTCAAAGCTCCAAAATTCACGGTTTAAACTCGTACCTTCGTGTCAAAAGTGTTTTTTTTTTTTCTCTGCAAAAAGAAGCTGAGAACTTGTTTACGGATTATTTTATTTTTTTAAATTAAAAGCTAAGAGCTCAAACCACACCGAGCATCCGCCGTTTTGAGAACCGAAAAACATGGAGACAGCCCATGTCACGTCAAGGGGCCTCCCTCCCATTTTCTTGGAGACGCTGCTCGCTCCCTCACTATCCATCCTTCTGTTCAAACTGTTTAATACTGCCATCCAGTGGTCAAAAAAGGTACTACACACAAATTAACCAACATTTCTTCTTAAATTTGACAATAATTACTAATTGGTCAAATTTCAAACAATATTATCGTTCATTGCAATAATTGCTGAGACGATTAATCACCCAGCAAACCTTGTTATCGTGACAGGCCTTGTGGGAGGAAACGGGAGTACCTGGAGAAAACCCACACATGCACGGAGAGAACACGCAAACTCCACCCAGAAAGATCCTGGGCTGGAATTTGAACCGACGACCTTCTCACTGAGGAGCAGCAGCTCTACCAACTGAACCAAACTATGAAATGAAACTTAAAAAGGTTTTCCTGAACTCCATCAAAGGGTGCAGTTTTCCAGATACTGTGTGTTGATATGCAATTCTGAACTGTGGGTCTGCGCTTAATGTAAACATCGCTCTCCACCCAACAAATCTGAGCGTAAATCCGTAGCAGTCGATCCAAATTGTCTGACTTCTCCATCCCAAACCGTTTTTACACAGACACTGTCGACCTATTTAACTTTTTCAGTCCCTTTTTTTAGTATTTCCATAAAAAAATAAACATACCTGGTAGTTGGACACCGGTCACAAAATTTACTTTCACATTTTAAATTTTTAGACACATTAGTTATCAATGTATGTGAAAAACCGTGGGGCTTTTTTTTGTTGTTGTTGTTGTTTTGGGTCTTCATGGCAGTGCAAAGGGCAGCTTTAATTCTTGTAAACGCAACTGAAGGAGTTTCATTACCCTAACGATGGAGTTTATCATAGATTCTTAACTTTAACGTTTTTTTTTGGCTCAATTAACCCCTTTTTTAATTGTCGACGTTTGTATTTTCTCTTGCGGTCAATGATTCAGGCACCAAAACTGCTTATTTGTTTTAGTAACTCTTTATTGCAGAAATTAAACCCCTGATTCGCACATGTTCGGCTAACTTCCTGAGTTTCACTTCCTGGTTTGATTAAAGACCCCAGACTGAGCTTTGAATGCATTTAGGCGAGCTCTTCTGTCCTTTGGCTTACGCAGGTGCTCAGATCGACGACAACATTCCTCGCAGGAACACCCAGCGCATCGTGGCTCCGCCGGGCGGCAGGGCCAACATCACCAGCCTGGGTTAGAGCTCCGCCCCCTCCCCCCAACCTGCTGAGGAGGAAACGCACAAATCAAAGGATGGCGTTCAGCAGCTGAGCAGGTTGACAAGAAACGCCACAACATCCGGGGTGAATCGAAACCTTCGAGGCGCCAGCTTTGGTGGAAAACTCTTCCTCCTTCGCAGTTTTCTCCAAAATTCTCTCATCCTCAAATCCCGACTCCTACTGGACACACCAAGACACAAACAAAACAAACAATAAGATCTGCCTCATGATGGGGGAAAAGAGAAACGTAACACTGCTTTTTGTGCACTTTTAATTCGTTGTTCGTTTTCTTGTACTTTTGCCATTTGTTTTTGACGTTTGCTGTTTTTACTGAGGGTTCAGGCAAGTCTAAAACTATTTACGCAGTTAAAGGGATAGTCCAAATGTTTTGAAGTAGATTGTTAATACCATTTTGAAAGCTCAGCTTGGAGAAATGGAGTTTCAATCAAATTAACGGAATAACAACCTAGATTGGGGGGGACAAGACCAAAACAGATGAGAATTAAACTTCATTTCTCCAAACGGAGGTTGTTCAACAAATGTCTACAACAGGTAAGACACTAACTGTTCATAACCTTTCCACAAAATCCCACTTCAAAGACTTGAACTATCTTTTTAGGGAAATAGAATGAAGTTTATGAAAGACGTTAATTGTATTTTTTTGTTTACGGCTGAAACAGAATGGGTACAAACCAAGTATTTGATGTTTTCTTATTCTTTTGTTTAAAAAAAAAAAAGAAAAAAAAAGCCAAACGTGAACTTGTTTAATAATTAAAATATTCTTATAATTTTGCAGTCAGGTCAGAAAAGCTTTGACAAACTGCATTTTGGCTGCTTTTCTTCTCAGTATTTATTAAGTTCCCATAAGATCTGCCTTAAGAGTTGAAATGTTTATAACAATCTGTCAAATTTACGTTTTAAACTCTTAAGGTGTAATAGTTCTGCGTCAGCTGGAGAACTTTACAAAATCGAGGGAGCTTTGGCAGCTTTGTGTTTCAGTTTAAAGTCATAAATACGTAGCAGAATTTTTGCTTGAGATTTATGTTTGCAAAAAAAAAAAAAGTTTTACTCGGTCAAACTGAGCCTTTCCTTGCCTTATTATCTGTTATTGTTCTTTTAGAGCACTTTTACAAGTGCAGGGAAGGTGCCATTCACTACTCCGCTGCTCATTTTCCGTTTAGTTTGCATTCCTGAACCCTAAAGGTCCGGCTTTCTTGACTGACGGCTGCAGAAGCGTCCAATTGCAATGGTTCCCAACTCTGGTCCTTGAGGAACACCATTCTGCATGTTTTAGTTGTTTTCCTGTTTTGAAACACCTGATTTTAATAAATCTGTGATTATAAGGCTTCTGCAGACCTTGGAAATAATTAAATCACAGAATCAGGTGCGCTGGAGCAGAAGAACAACTAAAACATGCAAGGTGGCGTTCCACAAGAACCACTGTTGGGAGCCACACGATGTAACCGCTTGATTCCTTCCACTCTTTATGTGCCTGAACCCACAGAAGTTGTATCAATAGTCTGAATTTCTTTGTTTTTATTTAATTCTTTCGGAGGTAACTGAAGGATGTAAGATAAAAAAAAAAGATGTAAAATAGCTAGGATAAACCGATTCAAAGGTGCCAGATTTTGTGCTTTCACGGGGCCTCATCAGGAGATAGAGCCTCAGTAAAGCTGAAAAAAAAAAGCTCGATATCTTGAAATGTACTTTATGTTTTTAGAGTTTTTACCTTGTGGTCGAACTGCTTTTTAGTGTTATTCTGTAACTATATAGGTGCCTGAAGGCTGAGCACTATGATTTCTGCTTGATGGTAGACACGAGTGTGCGGTGTTGATGGGAGAGGGATGGGGCAGCAGACTCGTTTATAACGCTCTGAAAAGTTCCATCAAACTTAACTTTTATTGTTTGAGACACAAATCAGCTTCCGTTCAGGAAGTTTTCTGGGTTTTAAATGAACTCTCCTCCTCCTGCAAGACTCGGAGCTCATCCAGATTTGGATAAAACCTGCAAGCCAGCTGTTTATTACATTTTTAACGGCGCTGAAATTCTGAAAGTTTAAAAATTTATCTCGAGAGACCGAAGTTTTCACTTTTTTTGTAAATTTGGCTCATGAATTGACATTTATGCACAAACATGATGCGTTTATGTATTTTAAAAGCAAGAGCAGATTTCTCAAGAAATTTTACCGTTGAGTGTTTCAGTCACCGATTCTGGTTATTTTCATTATTGAAGTTGGCGTCAGTTTGTTTTAAAGCCAAGCTAAAGGCTGTGTTTATGAAGGCGGCTGGACATTTATTGCTTTGTTTAAATCTGTTTCACCTCTCACAATTTAAACAAAAGTTTAGCCTTAAAACTCAGTTATGCAAGTAGAATTCTCATGCAAATTACTCTCCCTCCTCTCCTCCTCAAGGTTTCAACTTTCTAGCTCATATCATCTAGTTCTAAATCAAATTCTCATGTTAGTAGAAAATAATAAAGTTGCAAGTCTAAAATGAACCATCTATAAACATCCTGATGCATGCTCAATAATCCAGATTGAAAAATCTAAAACTGTTAAATCTGGTCCTCTGGACATTCAAAAAACAAAACAAAGCAAAAAAAAAAAAAAAGAAATGTTTCATCTTTCATCCGAAAGACTTCCTCAGTCTGAGGCGCTGTATTCAGCTCAGTCTTATAAATAGCGCCTTCTCAGAGTCATGTATATATATAAACCTATTAATCGCCAAACATGCGTCTATAAATCAAGTGGAGAAGAAGTTGCATAAGTTTTGCACCAATCTGCACCTTAATGCCTACGACAAAAGTATCCTGCAGAAAGGCCAACAAAGACTGTAATGACCCTTGGGAGGGAGGGTAGAGCGAGTGATTTGCATGGAGGTCAGCTTCTTTGCAATTTTCAGGTTATGTTGAAAAGGCGTCTAGAGTGAGAAGCAAAACATTCTTAGGAAAATGAAATGAGCAGTTCAGTCACCCTTTGAATATATATATATTTTTTTTCTGGATGACTGAGTCCACATCACCACAGTGTTGTGTTTGCTGGGACGGGGAATGAGGGTGAAGTCCACCGTCTCTAACACGGTTTGGCAGCGGCTCTCGCCTCTTTTCTTCCTTTTTGCTTCTTTGGTTGTTTCTGGCTGTTGCCTTAGCGACGGACCACTCCGCTCCTACAGCGTTTTTGCTCTTTTCTTCCAGTTTGTCATGGCAATGCTCGTTAAGTTGCAGGTTGCCATTAGCAACCTGTGTCGACTCTGCGCTATGACTAAAATCCGCCTGCACAGCCATATTTTTTTTAATTATTCTGTTCCAGCACGGCCACACAATCCTGCAGCGGCTCCTGAGGGATCCTGACTCTGTTGCAGCTAAAATAACAGATTAGAGCAGAAAACACTCCAGATGTTATAAACACAAAATACTTCTGAAGTAGCTCTGAGTCCCATGCCTCCCCAGTCTACACACACATCCCTCCTCCCTTGATGCTCTGTCAGCTTGAATGCTTTTTCTACGCCATATTATGCTAACAATGTAAGAGTGACATGTATGTACACAACATGCTGCAGACTGACAGGCTCGTCCTTCTGTTCTGAGGTTGATGCTGTTGATCTCTTTCCTGAGCCCCCCCACCCGACACACACACCCACTCCCCAGCCCCTCTGTGAGCTTTTTCCCTTTTGTGAAAGTGAAACTGTGTGATGGTGTTTGTCTCGGTGGCTGTGGGGTTTCTGGGATGCTTGCTTGCTATGAAAAATAATGTGTAATATTTCATAAATGGTGATGTAAAAAAAATACCAACCAACAGGAACTTCAAGTGATAGAATAAATGATTTGAAAAAAATTGACATTAGATTGTTTGTTCTTGTTTTTTTTTTTTAACACCTGTATGATGATTTATAATGAACAGCAGCAGTTTTCAGTGGTTCCAACTCTAGTCCTTGAGGAACGCCATCCTATATTTTTAGTCGTTTCTCTGCTCCAACACACTTGACTCAGGGATTTTATTACTTCCTGAAGTTTTGCCAAAGCCTGTTAATCACCATTCATTCAAATCAGGTGTGTCAAAGCAGGGAAACGACTAAAATAATGCAGGGTGGTGTTCCTCAAGGACCAGTGTTGAGAACCTCTGGTTCAATTACACACAACTGATGGATTACTTTGTTCACTCAATAGCTGAGTTGAAGCTGTTTGGTCCAAATATTGGGTCCAAATGTTTGACCTGGTGTTTGGGTCACAGATGAGCAGCATACCTACCAACTGTTGATTCAGGCAGAACGGTTCCGGGTTTTGAACCCTCTGACCTGCGTCCTTTATACGGAGGGGTGAGACACCTAAATGGCCTGCATTTGAAAAGTGCTGAATTGGCTTACCTGTTGATGTCTGTGTGGGAGGATTAATGCCAAGCCACTGTTTTGCAGCTTTTTAAAACGGTGGGTTGGGGTTACTGCTATAAGCCTATATTGGCTGTAAAAGACAAGCTCAAGCTTTCAGAAACCATTTTTCATTCAATCTTTATTTAAACAGATAAGTCACACTGAGCCTCGAAGACTCATTTACAAGTGAGACCTGTTTGGGCAGACAATGAAAAGTGGTGAAAATGACAACATAGGATTTGGAGACCAAAAAAGTTCCTAACATGTATTAGAAGAAGAAGAGCCGGAAAACAACACACAACCAAAATGGACGACCTCCTTGATTTCCGCCCTCCACCAAAGAATACACCCCCTGACCAATCAGTGACCTACAGTGCGCTGATGTCACATCTAGACCCAACAAGAACCAGACCTGGGACCTCAGAGAAGTAGGTCCCAAAAATGGGGTGGGTTCCACCACTGAAGGCACTGTGGATAAGCCATGCAATCGGCCCGAACTAGTTGCATAGGAGCCCCAAAAGGCCCTGTGGATAAGGGGCTATAGTTCCCTCTGCAGAGATCCGTACACTCCAAAGAGTCTGGGCCCCTCTGATTGGTCCGTAGACTTCCTCGGTGGAAGGGGAGGGAGGAGAAGAGCATCAAAGGTTTACAAAACTTCCAGGTGATTTAAGATAAGATGGTCTGTCAAGGCCAGTCAGGGAGATGAATTCAGATAAACACAGTTGTTTTGGGAACAGGCAGAACTTTAATGACATCTGCCTTGAGTCTGTGTCGGTCCACTCGGTTCCAAAATGTCCAAATTAAATGACCACACCAATGGACTGTGCCTGAGAGTATTCCTGGAGATCTGATGCATCCTGCCAAAAGCAACTGAGTCTGGGCGCTCGAGGCACGAACCAAGCCATCATATAAGGCAGGCAGCCTGATCAGGGCCAAATTTGCTGCTGACAACTTTCTTGTTTGTTGATAGACCAGGAACCAGCTGGATCCAAAAAACAGGAAACCAGTTGTCATAAAATCCAATTACATATGCGTCCTTAACATCCACAATTGACAGCAGAGATAGACACATCATCAAGTCTTCCAAGTTGATGAGATATCCAGCTGTGTGTCTGCCAACAGGACATTACTCAGTGTTACAATAACGTAAAGCTTGTAAGAAAATTGTGTTTCCTGCAACACGTTCAGATCAAAAGGAAAAAAAAATTGTTCAAGTTCAGGTATGTTTATTAATTTGTTCAGCCATAAATCAATTTATTGGAATTAGAAACTATTTATTATATTAAATACTGCTTAGGGGATTCTTGATTGTTGTGTGTGTGTGTGTGTGTAGTTGTAATTTTAATGCCCAAAGTGTTCAGGAAAAGTGAATAATCTAATGTTCAGTAGTGGGCACAGCTAAGTGGGACTTCAGTTGCTTAGAAGTTACCCTGGGGTCCGTTGTGACCTTTTGACCTCTGACCGCCTTGCTCTTGGTGTGATCTTTGTCGGTCCACCACTCCTGGGGAGGGTAGCAATGGTCTTGAATTTCCTCCATTTGTCCACAATCTGTCTGACTGTGGATTGGTGGAGTCCAAACTCTTTACAGATGTTTTGTATGTTTTTCCTCAATAATTAAATTGAGTGTAATATTTGTGTCTCATTTGTTTAACTGGGTTCTCTATATACTTTGAGGACTTGTGTGAAAATCTGATGTTTTAGATCATATTTATGTAGAAATATAGAAAATTACAAACGGTTCACAAACTTTAAAGCACCAGCATCTACTAGTGTGTTGCAGCATTTGACCTTTAGCTAGTTGCTTTGCTTCTCTCGGCAGTTTCAGCTTTCAAAGCTAATTTTAGAAGTCATTCAGCATTTGCTGCATTTTAGCAGAATGAAAAAACATTTTTTCTTCATGTTTTTGTTTCCCTGTTAATGTTTATTTTCTGTTTTATACCATCGAGTCCAACTTTCAAATCTGTTTTATTGAATCTTTATCTGTCTTTTAATTTTTTTTTTTTTTTTTTTGCGATCTCTGGTTGCCAGATAGTGTTGATTTTTACATTTTGACATCATTTTGGGTCTCTTCTGATTTATTTTGCTTTGTTCTATCTGCCACCCCCTACAGTGGAATTTGAACTTCCATGTGGCTTTTATTCCCATAAGTATTGTCGCTGTCTCAGTTAGTACTAGAATGTTGGTAGTTTGAGTCGTCCTGCATGTCCAGCTGTCCTGCAACAAGACAAAGACCCTGTAATAAATCCAGCGTGGACCGATTATCGTACTGTACACACACTTTGTTCATCCTTGAAGGAGCAAAGCACTTAATCTAATTTAATCCCTGTCTGTCTCAGCAGACTTGGAATGTGAGAATGGCTGTGAATGAAGCTGTAAATGTTTGACACTAGGTGGCAATGTTCCCATGCTGTTCAGCTTCCTGCCAGCTGTAAATCCTTCATGCTGCAGCTGCTTGGCAGAGAAAACACATGCTGTGAACTTGAACAAACACTTTTCACTGTTAAAGGCTGAATCTGAAGCTTGCAGAATCTGTTGAGGGAGGTGTTAAGTTACAGCGCTGCGTCAAAGTCTTTGTTTTTCTGAGCAGTCAGCCATTCTATAATATAATCTGTTAAAGTGGTCCTGATCAATAGTTTTCCAAACTTTTTGAAAGTTTTCTTTTGCACTTTAGTTGCTCTTTGCTCATTTTTTAAGACGAGTAGCTGAACTTGTTCTGAGGAACTGGACTCCTAGTGATGACCCCATGTCACCTTTCTACACAGAACAGAAAGCTTCACAAATTTAAAATCTATTTTAAATTGGATCTTCAGGCTCGTTGTGACCAGCAGCCTGTCACAGACGCGCTGTGTTCCCATCTCATCAGCAAAGAGAAGTCTGCCGGACACATTTTAGCTCCAACATAATTCCCATAGAGCTGTCATTTGATTACCTGCAGCATTTTTTAAATCCACTAACAGAATGTGGTGTCATCGACATGGAGTGGGACGGCAGCAGAAGTCCAAAGACCTTCAGGAAGTCAGAAGAACCGCTGATCTTTATGGAAGTCTGTCTCGAACACTGGTGGTGTCCTCAATAATCCAGGTAGAAAAATAAAAAAAGTTAAGTCAGGTCCTCTGGACGGATTCTTCTTGTTGAAACGTTTCGTCTTTTATCCATAAGATGTCGTCAGTCTGAGGAGCTGCAACAAACTCAGCACCTTCTCATAGACAGCCCAAACTAGCTGTTCACACGATAAAGGAGGACCATCAGCCTAACGACTGATCGTTAGTGCCCTGATGGCCGCTTGCTACTCACAGAGGGCTGAGTGATGCTAGCAATAACAGCATTGTAAGAGGCGGACAGTTGAACACGGAGGCTCCGCCCCTTTTAATGATCTCCACAAAGATGGCCTCCTTCACTCCTCTCTCAAACCATAATTTCTCTCTATCGGGGATGTGAACATCTTCATCCCTGAACGAGTGACCGCTGGAGACCTCAGAGTCCTGGCCTGATGATGTTGCTCTTCTGTGCTGGTCCATCCTTTTGGCCAGTGGCGGTTTAGTTCCCCCATGTAAGACTGATCACCCTCCTGTACGGTGGCCCTGAGGTGTAAATGAACAATATTTGAAAAAACGGAATGACGTTTCAAAAAATGAAATTAAACTGGAAAAATCACAATAAAAACAACAAAAACACAACAACATTTGAAAAAACGGAATTACATTAAGCCAAAGCGGAAGTAGCCAAAGTGGAAGTAACCAAAGCGGAAGTGGCCGAAACCACATTTGAAAAAACGGCATTACATTAAGCCAAAGCGGAAGTGGCCAAAGCAGAAGTAGCCGAAGAGGAAGTGGCCAAAGTGGAAGTGGCCGGAATCACATTTGAAAAAATGGAATTACATTTGAAAAAATGGAATTACATTAAGCCAAAGCAGAAGTGGCCAAAGCAGAAGTGGCCGGAATCACATTTGAAGAAATAATTATAAACTGAATTTCATTAATTTCGTTTTTTCAAATGTGATTCTGGCCACTTCCGCTTTGGCCACTTTGGCTTCGGCTACTTCTGCTTTGGCCACTTCCACTTGGGCTACATCTGCTTCTGCCACTTCAGCTTCGGCTTGATGTAATTCTGTTTTTTTCTAATGTAATTCTTTTTTTTTCAAACGTTGTTCATTTACACCTTAGGGCCACCGTACTCCTGACACTGAACAACATACACAGCATTACTCTGTTTGTGCCGGGGCACTGGATCTTTGGGATGGACCAGTCTTTGCTGTAATGTAATTTGGGGTTTAAAAGCCACTGGGACGTCGTGTTTAGAAAATAAACGTCTTGGTTTCTCTGAAACTCCCACAACATACAGAACAACTGGTCTGGGCTCCTCCTTGTGGACACTGGTGGTGGTTTAAAACTTGCACAGTACTAATCCATTCTTCGTCTCTCATTTGGGACATTTCTCACACTGTCCTACCTGAACTCTTGTTTTTGTAGAACGACTTGTGATCGGTTTAACTGGACTGGAAGGAGTTACTGCTCAGTGTAATTTACAGTAAACTCAAGTTTCCAACAAAGAATGCAAATTTAAAACAAATCAGCTGCATTTTATTAGTTTCTGTAAGGAGACTATTCTAGATGGACACTTTGATTTTCCACTTGGTCACCACTGTGCTGTATAACAGAGTACAAGGCTGTATTAACTGGATGCCACTCAAGCTGTAAAAAAACGGAAGCCATGTTGAAAGTAATTAATCAAATTATTATTGTTTTCCCTCTGAAGTCTAATTCAGCGCAGTTTCACAGAGTCCTGACAACGCTAACACCAAACATATTTATCACCAGCTGTCATGGAAGATGGGCATGCTGTTGTTACCTCTCTGTGCTGTGCAATAGTTTATCTGTCTGTTAGTAAAATATCCCAGGCTGGATTTAAATACACCTCTCAGAAAATAATAATTGGATGGACATCTACAATTATTGGAGTCAAGCCAATTCAAAATGGTCGCCACAGCTAATCCACCTATAAATCTGTCAGTTTTACAGATTATAATCTGAGATTTGGTGTGGTAGTAGCTGAGAGTCAACCCCAACACATATGCTGAGCGCTAACCGATTCGGTTATATAACGTTGTCGTACAGCAGCAACAGGCGATAAGCAGTTCTTCAATAAATGCCTTTTTAAAAATTGTAATTAATAATTTTAGTAATAAATGTTTAAATGTTCCTTTTTAAATGACAAAAACTATCAGCAGATAAAACTAGCCTTAAAACATTAATCTTCAGTTTGTGTCCAACATGTAGGTGTCATGTTCCTTCTGTTTTGTTTTATTGTATGATGCTTATTAAGCGTCCACACTATTGTTGTCCTGTTTATATTTATTATTATTCCAACTTCTATCTCTGTTCTGTACATTTTCAGTGCGATTCTCGTCCTGCAGTTTTTAAGCTATTCCAGCAATTTAGGGATTAAAATGTTCGGCTCTTTGAGAACAATCCTGCTGTGACTTTTGGTATTGGTGCAACTTTAGCTTTTTGAAATATTTAGCCTTTTCTGCCATTTTTTTTCTCATAGAAAATGAATTGAGCTCATTTTCCATCCTTCACATCTTTAGATCTGTTTATAACCTTTTGCTGCTCCTTTCTCTTTTTGTTCTGTTTCAGCTTCTTTCAGCTTCCTTCTGCAAATTTAAACTTTTTTCAGCTGTTTGTTCAGCTGTTTTGTGCTCCTTTCAGATTCTTTCTGCTAACTACAACATTTTTGTTTTTCTAACTTCATTCTGCTCCTTTCAGCTATTTCAGCTACTATTTAGCTGTTTTTATGCTAATTTGAGCTTTTTCGGCTAATTCCACATTTTGTGCACTCATTTCAACTTTTTTCAGCCCAATTTTTTTAAAAAGTGCTCTCATCACTTCCTTCTGGTAATTTCAGTATCTTTCTGCTTTTTTTTAGCTACCTTTCAGCTAGGTTTATGCTAATTTCAGATTTTCTTTAGATAATTTTTTTTGTGTCCATTTCTGAGTCTTTCAGCCTATTTGGGCAAAAGCGTTCTTTCTGTTTTCTTCAGTTCATCTAAGCTTGCTCTACCTTTTCAGCTTTCTTTTTAGCTTTTTTTTAGCTAATTTCAGCTGTTTTCAGATTAATTCAAGTTTTTCGTTGTAAATTGAGCTACTTTCAGCCTAATTAACTTGTTTCTTTTAATTTTAGCTTGTTATGCTCCTTTTGGATTTTTTCTGCTAGTTTTAGCTTTTTTCTGCTATTTCAGCTACTATTTAGCTGTTTTTATGCTAATTTTAGCTTTTTCAGCCAATTCCACATTTCAGCTCTTTCTTCATGGATTAAGCTTCTTTCTGCCTTTTCATATATATTTCAGCAATTCTTTTTGCTAATTTCAGCATTTTTTTAGCTAATTTCCTCACTTATTGTATGTACTAATTTCTGCTTATTTAAACCTAAGTCAGCAAACATGCTCTTTTTCCTTCCTATGCTAATTTAAGTTTGTTCTGATGTGTCAACTACATTTCAGCATGTTTTATTTTAGCTAATTTTAGCTGTTTTTTCAAGAAGTTCTTTTGCAATAAGCATTCACACTGCATTTTTGAAGGAAATGCACTTTCTCCAGTTTCATTTTATTTTTGTCCGTTGCCTTCCAGCTGCTATTCTCACCTGGTGCAGGTTTGTAATCACCACACCTGTTCCTTATATGCATCATTAGCCTCTGTGTGTTTCTAGTCCTGGTTTTGTCTGATCCTCATGTTGTCATTCGTTACTGACTTAGTTCTGTTTAGTCTGTGAAAACAAGATGCTGTTTTTAATCATTGGTAAAGCCACTTTTTAAAAGCAAAACTTCATAATTCAAATAAACACTTGGCTCCTTTTCATAAGACGCACATGAGACGTCTTTAACTGTCGTTTGAAAGGATTTAGTTGGAAAAGTAAATCCTGTTCTGTTCATCATGTGTCATGTTTTATGCTTTACAGATAGACGATGGGAAAACCAAACTTTAACAGGAAGCGTGTGAAAAACAGGCCGCCACGAGGAGTGGACCATAAAGCAGAACAGCAAGCGAGAGGATGCAGGTGCCAAAGAAAGTTTTATCTTGACAAATATATGCTAAAGCTTTTTAGCTGATCTTCAGGAAAACATTAGCTTTAGTTAACAGTGATGATTTTTTTTTTTTACAGCCAGCTGCTGCAAAATGAAAAGTTGGGAGAACAGAACCAGGATGGAGGCGGAACCCAGAGGAACCTGCTAACGAGGACCAACAGCCTGACAGGTGATGGCCAGAAGCATGCAGTCACCCTTCACCCCTCCACTGCTCCAAACACCACTTTTACTTTGGGGGAAAACAGCTGTGGCACTTCGGTGTCTCCACAGAACGCTTTGATGTTCTGCCAGCAGAACTAAAAGGGTTCTGCAGTTTCAGGGAATATACAGGCAGGATTAAAGTTCCTGCAGTAAACAATGACAACACAATGCTGTTGGTTTGCTTGAATGTTTTAATGAGCTTCATTAAATGGTGCAAAAATTGGAGGGAAAGCTGTAAAACATTTAGTTAAGTACAAATTACTGCACATAACTTTTTGTGTAATTCTGTCGTCCTTCGTTTAAAAAAGGCGACTGTGGACAATTTTTTTGTTCTAAAACAAAACTTACATTCTTTCAAGTCACTCAAGATTTTTAAAAAGTTAAAAGAAAATGGGGTTGACAAGCAGATTTTAAGGCTTCGATATGGTTTTAACAAAATCAGTTTTAGTTTGAATGTTTGACATTAATGTTAATTTGTTTATACATTTCGTTGGATATGTCAGTTTTAGTAGTTTGAAGTTGTTTTTTGACTCAAGTTAGCATTAGGTCAAAGCTGACTAAGTTTTTTTTACACTGTTTGCTTGTTTTATTTAATTTAATTGATTTTATTTTGCAACAATTTTTTTCTGTAAACTTCGAGTTACTTTTAGTTTTTCATAAAATGTTCAACAAACGTGTGAGGAAATCTGGAGTGGCAGAAAAGAATGTTGGACTGGTACAGGACATGTATGAGGACAGCAGGACATGTATGAGGACAGCAGGACAGTGGTGTGATGTGCTGTAGGAGTGACAAATGGCTTCAAGGTGGAGGTGGGAGTGCATCAAGGATCTGCTCTGAGCCCCTTCTTGTTTGCTCTGGTGATGGACCGACTAACAGTTGAGGTCAGAGGAATTCCCATGGACTATGATGTTTGCAGATGACATTGTGATCTGTGATGAGGACAGAGAACAGGTGGAAGAGAACTTGGAGAGGTGGAGGTATGCACTTGAAAGAAGAGGAATGAAAGTCAGCCGTAGTGAGACAGAGTACACGTGTGAATGAGAGGCAGGAGGTGGAACAGTGAGGATACAAGGAACAGAGGTCACAAAAGTGCAGGACTGCAAAAACTTGGGGTCCACTGTCCAGGAAAATGGAGAATGGGGTAAAGAGGTGAAGAAGAGAGTCGAGGCAGGATGGAGTGATGGAGAAAAGTTTCAGGAGTGATTTGTGACTAAAGTGTCAGCAAAGGTCAAAGGAAAAGTTTACAAGACAGTGGTGAGACCAGCTTCTGTAAATCAAAACTTTAAAACAGTCCAGCAAACATTAAGAAACATTTGGAGTCACATTGTGTCTGGTGAAATTAAACTGCTCTCTGCAGAGCCATTAACACGCGCCTGCTTAACGTCCATGTTTGATTGTGATAACGACTCAATGCTCCATCAGATTTAATTTTTCTGATAAATTCAGAAGGTGCAGGTTGCACCAGCAGGAAGGATATTACATGACAAATTAAACTGTGTTTGCAGCTGCGGTGTGGAACATGCAACCTAATATTAAAATGTGCTCTATAGAAAATCAAGGCGGGCAGAGTCTGACACCTCCGTGCTTTATAAAATATCACCCTGAAGTTATTGAGACCCAAAACACTTCAATTCTAAAGAGAACTTTGAAAACTTTGAGGTGAGTAAAAAAAAAAAAAAATCACATTTAAATAAAGACAGCAGCTCTTACACACCATTAGGGATGATTTTAAGAAATATATTAACATCTCATTTACAGGTGCTGGTCATAAAATTAGAAAATCATGAAAAAGTTTATTTTTATTTCAGTAATTCCATTCAAAAAGTGAAACTTGTATATTATAGTCATTCATTACACACAGACTGATATAGTTCAAATGTTTATTTCTTTTAATGTTGATGGTTATGACTGACAACTAATGAAAATCCCAAATTCAGTATCTCAGAAAATTACAATATTGTGAAAAGGTTCAATATTGAAGACACCTGGTGCCACACTCTGATCAGATAATTAACTCAAAACACCTGCAAAGATCTTTAAATGATCTCTCAGTCTAGTTCTGTAGCTACACAATCATGGGGAAGACTGCTGACCTGACAGTTGTCCAAAAGACACTTTGCACAAGGAGGAAAATACACAAAAGGTAATCGCCAAAGAGGCTGGCTGTTCACAGAGCTCTGTGTCCAAGCACATTAATAGAGAGGTGAAGGGAAGGAAAAGATGTGACTGAAAAAAATATACAAGCAATAGAGATAACTGCACCATGGAGAGGATGATGAAACAAAACCCATTCCAAAATGTGGGGGAGATTCACAAAGAGAGGACTGCTGCTGGATTCAGTGCTTCAAGAACCACCACGCACAGACATATGCAAGACATGGGTTTCAGCTGTTGCATTCCTTGTGTCAAGCCACTCTTGAACAAGTGACAGTGTCAGAAGCGTCTCGCCTGGGACTGCTTCTGAGTGGTCCAACGTTATATTCTCTGATGAAAGTAAATTTTGCATTTCCTTTGGAAATCAAGGTCCCAGAGTCTGGAGGAAGAGAAAAGAGACAGAATCCATCTTGCTTGAGGTCCAGTGTCAAGTTTCCATGTTTAATGATGTTTTGGTGTGCCATGTCATCTGCTGGTGTTGGTCCACTTTGTTTTCAGAGGTCCAAGGTCAACGCAGCCATCTACAAGGAAGTTTTAGAGACTTCCTGCTGCTGACCAACTTTATGGAGATGCAGATTTCATTTTCCAACAGGACTCGGCACCTGCACACAGTGCCAAAGCTACCAGTACCTGGTTTAAGGACCATGGTATCCTTGTTCTTAATTGGCCAGCAAACTCTCCTGACCTTAACCTCATAGAAAATCTATGTGGTATTGTGAAGAAGATGTGATGCACCAGAGCCAACAATTCAAAAGAGCTGAAGGCCACTATCAGAGCAACCTGGTCTCTCAGAACACCTGAGCAGAGCCGCAGACTGATCGACTACATGCCACGCTACTTTACTGCAGTAATCCAGGCAAAAGGAGCCCCAACTAAGTACTGAATGCTGTACATGTTCATACTTTTCAGTTGGCCAACATTTATAAAAATCCTTTTTTTTATTGGTCTTAAGTAATGTTCTAATTTTCCGAGATACTGAATTTGGGGTTTTCATTAGGTGTCATTTATAATCATCAGGATTAAAAGAAATGAACATTTGAAATATATCAGTTTGTGTGTAATGAATGAATATAATATACAAGTTTCACTTTTTGAATGGAATTAATGAAATAAATCAACTTTTTTCACAATATTCTAATTTTATGGCAGCACATGTATACCTGAAATAATTGTGACATTCTGGGAGAAGACTTTCAAAAGTCTATAAAATCCTCCAGTTTGACACAAACTCTTCTGTGCTCATTGAGAACAACGAAGCATCTGACTTCCTGACGCAACCACAACTCCCGTCATTCATTTTACTTTGCTGCCTCAACATTATTAACCATCATCGCTCTATAATGAATGACTTCACTAAGCCAACTTTTTAGGTTCAACCGTGTCTTTAATGGTGGCCGGGGCAGTGTTTGCCTCATAATGATAGAGACGGTAACGCTCTTTGAATCTGCTGCTGCTTCAAAAATGAGAGCCGCATGCTTAATAGGAAGCCGGTGCATTTATTTCCATAAATAATATCAGAACTCATGTCACTCGATGGCTTTTAACGCTGAACTTCCACTGGAGGTCAACACTGTTGTGCAGACGCAGAGATGGTTGTGTTTTGATGTTTGCCACCTTCGCTCTCTGGCTGACTTTGTCTTAAATCCTGAGCATTTGTCTTTGGAACAGAAGCCGCAGCCATGACAATTCAGAGCATCTTTTAGGATTGTAGGAAAAATGTCAGAACTGGACCCAGATCTTGACACGTACCTTCAGTTGGTACAAAGTTGCCTTAATTTTTGTTCTTTTCATACCCAGTTCACAACTTGTCTCCCTCTCTCACCCTTACCCTCCCCTCGATGCGTTTGGCCTTATTGTAGACCGACTCATGCTCCTCATCCACCTCCCCTCTTCTCATCCTTATTCTTCCCCATTTTGTTCAGTTTATTCCTCATGCTCCTTCCTCTTTATCATCATCATCATCTTCATGAGCTGTACCCATTCGCATCTGCCAAACTTCATCCTGGGCCCTTCCTCATCCTCCTCAACCCTAAAAATGTAATAAATGAAGGAAGCCATTCGGTTCATATCAGACGTCACAGAAAAACTGCACCATATTCTTTCTTGGCTTTGTTTTTCTCAAATTCATTCAAGTTGTGAAGTGTTTGTTTTATTTTATTAATATTTGACTGGTACAGGACATGTATGAGGACAGCAGGACAGTGGTGAGATGTGTTGTAGGAGTGATGGATAGCTTCAAGGTGGAGGTGGGAGTGCATCAAGGATCTGCTCTGAGCCCCTTCTTGTTTGCTCTGGTTACGGACAACTAGCAGATGAGGTCAGGCAGGAATCCCCGTAGACTATGATGTTTGCAGGTGACATTGTGATCTGTGATGAGGACAGAGAACAGGTGGAAGAGAACTTGGAGAGGTGGAGGTATGCACGTGAAAGAAGAGGAATGAAAGTCAGCCGTAGTAAGACGGAGGACATGTGTGTGAATGAGAGGGAGGAGGTGGATCACTAATGCAACAATAAAAAAAATCCTTTAAATTTAGTTCTTGTTTTGAATAGACGATGATCTTGGTTTCAAACCAAGACCAACAATCTTGTTAGCACTGACTCCTTGAAGAGAAAATTAATGTATAGAGGGAACTCAAAATAAAAAAGATGAACCTGACCAGGGATAGATTAGATGTTTTTACAAGACAAAATGTATGACTTGTTCCTGCCTTTCCAGTTTCTGTTGCTTGCTCGTAGAGCAGACTGTTCCTGAAATCTGATAAAGCCACTGCTTGCGGTTGACTCAGGGATCCTGAATGTCCCGGAAATAAGACCTGATTGATGAATGACTTAGATTTACAGATGAGGAATCGCATCAAACAGCTAGTGTTTAAACATAGTTCACGCATCAGCAATGCTCCTGCTTCAACATGAGCGTCAGCAACGTTGTTTCTTGCTGATTTATGGTTTTTAATAATCAAAAATCAGCAGCGTGTTTGCACGGGGAAGAAGCCAGCTGTGAAGGCCCTCGCAGGCAGGGAAGCGGTGGTTACATCATCAGGACTGCATTTATTTGACATCACAAATGATGCAAAACACAAAACAGCTGATTCATCGCAGCTTTGATAATGTCTTTAAACCAAGCAGCGGAGCTTAAGCCTCGGTGCTTCCATAAAAATATACCTTTTTGACGTTTTCTCTCACTTTCAAACTTTTGTGTTTTTTTTTTCTTTTCTTGACAGAACAGAGGTCACCCACACTCCCATACCATGCTCGGAACTATCAGCGAATACTAATAATCTCCACAGTGTTTTAATATCCTGCCCTGAAGAGCTTTGGTGCAAACTGCAGAAATGCCACCACTGTTGAATGAAATAACGTCTCCAGGGTTCTCGGTTTCATCTGGAATGGATTGCTTCATCTTTATTCCTTGTCAAGGTCTGACGATGTGCTTTCTCTCTGAGCGTTCCTACTCGCAAAAGGAGCTTCAGGCTTTGGCGTCCCAAAGTTTCTGGCTGAGCAGTTTATACAAGCAAGTCGTTTCCCTCGAGTTGTTGCATTTCGGGAATTTGCTCACGCAGGAGTTGTACATAACTGTCCCACCGAGAAGGCTGAAAATAAGAAAGAATGCCAAGAATTCTCGAGAAGCCAATTAAACGGCCTCGCCCGAAATGCCAAGAGAGAGGCGCAACACCTTAGCTGACCCGTTTGTGGAGGGGGTCTGCAGTGCAGAAGTTCGCCTCACTGAAAGACACCAGGCCTTCAGCAGACTCTTCCTCTGGGTTTGTTCACTCTGAGCCCGGTTTTTATCAACAGATGACGACGAAGTCGACAACATCCTGCAGCAAGCCCACGAAGAAGCAGCCAGCGGGTTTTGGACTGAGGAGACCGGTGTATTAGAGGTCAAGCCCGGACTGGAGGAATGAGCGCTGACGGGGCCTTGCTTAGCAGCAGGAATCCCTGTTCTCAGGCAGTGTCCACGCAGCATGTTGCAGAAGGCTTTTTTGAACTCCTGGCTGAAGCACGGGTAGATGATGGGGTTAATGCAGCTGTTGAGGTAACCCAGCCAGAAGGTTATCTTAAAGATGGTTTCAGACGGCTTACAGGATGGAAAAATAGACCCTGGAAAAGACAGAAAGAAGGAGAAATAATCTAGAGAAAGACACTAGTAATGGATGTGCAATTATCTTGTCATTTAACAAATACATGTCGGGTTCTCTTGTCTGATTCTTCTTCTTGAGACGTGTCGTCTTTATCCAAAAGACTTTGTCAGTCTGAGGAGCTGCAATAAACTCAGTCTTATAAATAACATTTTCTCCTAGTGGATCAACCACTATGACTTGTATGAGGACAGCATACAAGTCGTGTTATGCTTGAGTTTGGTAGTTTGGTGTGTGTGTGTGTATATATA